TAGCTGGAATATTGCTGAGTGCGGCGTAAAACTAAACTCACTCACTCACCAACAACGTGAGGTGTTGATAAATCAGTTGTGTTCTTATTCACATGATCAGGCTGTCGACAAAAACAACCATACAGGGCCTAGTTCCACGGAACGAACTTGGAGCTAAACTGATTGTAACACACATACCTCAGCATCGACTTATGATCATCATAGCTATTACGATCGCATTGTGCAATGGGGCCCAGATGTTTATCGTTTACATGTTTTCAACTTCAAGGGATGACTGCATGTATGGACGAGGGGATCGGAAACATCACTGCAGCTCTCAATGCTACTGGCCAGCTGGAGAATACCCTCATTGTCTTCTCCACAGGTAAGTAATATTGTATTAGAGTTGAATCACAAACAGTGATGACTGTCAGACCTTAGTTAATAAATGATGGATGTTCTAAGTCTCTCTAGAAAATTAACTAATAAATTATATGAATTTCAGGCATTTTACAGTTCAGATACTTGGTAACATGTAAATGATACACTGACTGCATGTACAAATCTGTATTACAACTGTGCTACGTCGTACAACATCTAAATGGGAGAGTGGCAGGTGCCTCATGTAGGGCAGTGCCTGTCTAAATGTTTTATGGACAACTGGTGTGTTTCAGTGAAATATCATGGATTTAAATAGAACCCCAAAAAGTGTCTTCGGCATGCAAATTGGTAACAACATTGGCATTGTTCATAATTTGATTTTCTTTCTTTTGGTAAATTCTGAGGTAGTGGGAATTTTATATTCAAACTTGGAACTTCTGCTGTAATTTACGTCAGGACTGTTGTTTAATGCTGCCCTCCACAATATTCCAGCTGTATGGTAGCGGTCTGTAAATAATCGAGTCACAACAATCTAGAACCAGACAATCTAGTGATCAAAACTATGAGCATCGATCTCATGCAATGGGATACAATGACATGTGACAACGAAGTTAGAGAGCCTAAACCCCCTTTCCCACCCACACCTCGATCATCACGTTAGTTTTATGACAAGCATAGGTTTATTGTGGGTTTATTTAAGCTTGAAGACTAGAAGTTTAGTATTTGAGGATGTGGTAGAATTATGCGAGTCTACTAATTATTCATGAGGTTCCTGACAAAGTACTTGTGTTTTCAGACAATGGCGGTACGATCTACGATGGGGAAACAACTGGCCACTGAGGGGTGGAAGGGTCGTTATGGGAAGGGGATTCCATGGTGTGGGCTTTGTGTATGGTGATATGCTGAAGAACAAAGGAACTGTCAATAATCAACTGATCCATGTCTCTGATTGGTTCCCAACATTGGTGGGTGTGGCTGGCGGGAACACCAATGGAACAAAGCCTCTGGATGGATTTGACCAATGGAAGACCATCAGGTACGCTAGTATTTATGCGCAGTATGCATACTGTAGGAAGCACACATAAAATATCCAAATCATCATCATCATCATCATCAACAACAATATCAGTGAAATTATAGCGTAGAGCTAGTCTGTCTCCGAAACCCCTTGAGAATAAATTAAATACAAGACCTGCTCAAGGCAACGATCAATTGGCAAGTCAAACTGCCTCACAGCTCCTGAAAATACGGATTGTTCAGGGCTCTATTTGGATTTGTTTTGAAGATTAAATATTTCTTAATTTTAATATTGTCATTCAAGCAAAGGGCATATGGCTGTTTGAATGTTGTGACGTACTGTGTGTTTGTGTGTTTTTAATGGTTGTATCAAATATGATTGGTTCAAATAATTTAAATTTCTGTGTTGAATTTAGATAAGTTAGCGTAAATTTCCCACCTATAAAGTATGAATTTGAAACCATTTGCTTACAGTGTATATGTCTGGAAAAGGAGGTCTCTTCAGTAGTATATGTCACAATGACAGCAATGTTTACTTGCTTACACAACAAGGGAAATTCTTACATCAATTTGCCATTGTTCCAGTGAAGGTGGAACCAGTCCGAGGAAGGAGCTCCTACACAACATTGACATCTTGACACAACCCAAGGGAGCTAAGCTTTTAACAACACCTTCGACACGCGGATCAGAGCCGCTATACGAGTCGGGGACTGGAAGCTCATGACAGGAAGTCCAGGTTTGTGGACTCTCACTGCTTAATACTGTAGAGTAGCTTAGTGGTTAAGGTGTTTGCTCGTCACGCCGAACACCCGGGTTCGATTCCCCATATGCACACATTGTGTGAAGCCGAGTACTGGTGTCCCTCACTCCCTGCTGTGATATTGCTGGAATATTGCTAAAAACGGTGTAAAATAAATTCACTCACTCACTCATTTAATTCCTTAGTTAGTGACAGGTATCGGATTATGAATACACAATGCCAGTTGGAACGTGGTCAAATGTAACATAAGTTTTATTTGGTACATGTATTACACTTTCTCAGTTAAGTACAGATTCTGTTAGGTTGTTACAGTTGTCAAAGGGATTTTAATCAAGGTGCTCTAATGAGTTAATGCTCTCTGTGAGGTAGGACACGTTTTATTACAATCTTGATTAATGAACATATATTGTTTTGAGTAGTGCCACAATTTTATTTACTTTTGAAAGTAATAAGAAGGAAGGAATCTGATTTGCCAAGAGTGATATAAGTTATAATAGCCACTGGTAGGGATATGATACAGGTGTGAAATTCCAGGCTAGTTTCATAAGGGTGGAAACTAGACTTTTGTAGACAGTTACTTCCCTTGCCTCTGGAAGATGGTTCCAGATCTTTTTAAAGCTATCGAAATAAAGATTCTTCTGAGTACTTAAGATAAGAACTAACAAACGCTCACTATAAGCATACATAGTTGCCAACAAGTAGCATCAATGTAAAACATGCCAGTAGAGCGATCTCCCCTTGCTCCTGTGTAATGGCTGCCATGCTCACCACATGGTTCTGAATAAAGGACCTTATAAACAGAAGTCTTAAGACTATTACAACTTCCATGTCTTTGCTCACACAGTCTTCCTCCATCCTCAGGAAACGGCAGCTGGATTCCGCCGCCACATCTAAGTAAGGAGGCGGTTATGGACAAGGATGATAAGGCAAAGAACCTATGGTTATTTGACATCGCAAAGGACCCAAATGAACACAATGACTTGTCAGCATCACAACCAGACATTGTTAAGAAGCTTCTGGACCGACTAGAGTACTACCAGAAAAACAGCAATAGCCCCCAGGTACCCCTGATCCTGACCCCAAAGTGTGACCCCAAACTACATGGAGGGAGTGTGGGGGCCGTGGGAGTAAAACAGAACTTACTCTACAGTAGAGAAGGTGGTTTAGGTTGTCTCTGATTTGGGTTAACATCCCCGGAATAAACTATAATTGATTAATTGACAAGACAACCTTAATTAACACTGAAAGCCCCTTTTATATATGCTTCTATGTACTCCTTTTAAATGTGACTTGATAAGTCTTGAACATATTATTGGAATTAGCTTTGAAGATCAGATCTTTAGACGGAGCTTGCAGCTATTTTGGAAGATAAGTCAACTTTATTTGCCTGATATATTGAATGTAACTGGGACCTTCTTCATCTGGCTGCTCAGTGCAACCTCTTTTGACTGGTAGCTCAAATCCTTTAGAATGTAGCTTGGGTCATTTTTTTTGTTGATCACTCAATCGTTTGGAATGTAGCTTAGGTCATTTTCATTGATCACTCAACCCCTTTGGAATGTAGCTTGGGTCATTTTTCGTTAATCACTCAATCTTCTGGAATGTAGCTTGGGTCAGCTTTCTTTTGTAGGTCAGTCCTTTAGAATTTAATATATTCGTATAGTAGTTTGAAGATTCTTCAAATATTTATTGTCTCAGTTGGTAAATATATATTTTCTAAATTGTCTCCCCTGACATCAGTTAATTAGAAGATAAAGCTGCTTTGTTTTCAATTTTGTGGTCCTTTATCGTTCATTTAAGATCGCTAAATGTAATTTATAAACCGAACGCGTCAAGAAGTTCATTGTATTCATACGCGGTGAATCAAACTCTTTAATTAGAGGTCCTTAAACTGCCATTTAAGTATGGTTTTGATGAGCTCTCAGCCAATCAGAATTGAGTATCACACAGTGTAGTGCTAGAATAATGGATTGACCGTTTATATTACTTCCTTGTCAGTTGTTTAATATGAGGGTAGTTATGAGACATCATTGTTTATAATTTGATACTTTTATACACATACCTTTTATATTTTTTTTTTAATTATGCTTATATCATGGTATATTTCATATTTTGAAATGAGGGGAAACATATATGGTTGATTGGTGTGTGTATCCATGTCATTGGAGGACACTCTAGCTTGTGTTCTCACTCATGGTCTCAGAATGGTGATAATACTTGTATGTATTCAGTAATCTTGAAGAAATAATATTTAACCATTTACTTAATACACTTAAATCATTGATCCATACGTTATTCCTCTGTTCTATAGGAGATGTTATGTCACAAGCGTCCATGACAGACCTTTATGATACAGACACATAGTTACTGATGCTTGGCCAAATATCAAAGATATTAATGTAGTAATGAGGGAAAGATATTTTATGCATTCAGGCTGAATGCAATTAGAGGCTAAAATTTGAAGCAAAAGATGTCAACCAACAATATTTCCACAGTGGTAATATTTTGTTTTGACTGTCTGAATGTTTCATGACATGGGTAAGATACAATTTGTGTGTTGTTCTATTTTATTGTTGTGGTTCACATGTGTACATTCCAGAGACTCAGCAATCTGAGGTTTCAAATTACATTAACCAACTCTAATTACTAACAGTTATCTCACTGCACCTATGACATTGGGCTTCAGAAGTTCACAAAATCAGATGGACTGTAACACTTCAGACCTCTGATTACAATATTTTTGTTATTATGTGCATCATAGATTAAGACAAGATTGATGAATACTGTTTTATTGATCTACATGGAGTTTATGATATATCATACTGGAAAGAGATTGTTACCATACAAAAACGTTTGTTTTTGCTTTTTAAGAGAATTGTCTATTGTTGGATAGTCTCAGTCAACTTTATTGATTAAATAATCCATCAAGTCTACATTCAGGTGATAGTATAAATGGGTTATTCAGGAGCTGTTAAAATATCTTGTTATTAGTTATTAATAGTATTGATGTAGACGATATGTTAGTCATATTTCACTTATAGTAATTCTCCCTAGTTAATTGTGTCACAAAACTAGACACAATATTTTTATACAGAACCACACTTAACTAATAATGAATGTGTATAATGTTTATGGATTAAATTATGCTTTATTTGGGGTTATAAACCAAATAATCTTACCTTTATATCTGGCATGACCTATATTTATTTTGGTATATTTTAAATTGTACCTATAGCATGACCTATATTTATTTTTGATATATTTGAAATTGTACATGACATTGGATCAACAGAAATGTCAAGATGTATATCTATTTGTTTATAATTTGTATTTAAACAACCTGGGTGCAGGTTTACAACAGAGCTGTGAGGTGCGTAGCGTAAGCCTTGGCTTGCACATGACTTTGCTAATGAAAGTTGGACAAATCCCAATACAATCTAAATATAGAGCTTTGCAACCTATGGGGCTTACATGATGCCTTTTGAGCATTTTACTGAAACTTGTACAACCACTACAAATGACATGTTCATTGTATTGACAATAAATATGATTAAACCAATTTGGTGTTCATGTCAATTTACAGGACAAGTGTGACATTTCATGACTGCATAATAGATTTTATTGCTCTGCATTCATCAGTTGTAATTCTAAGGTGTTTGATTTTTAACATCACCCTCAGCAATATTCCAGCTATATGGTGGAGGTCTTTAACTAATTAAGTCTGGACCAGACAATCCAGTGATCAACATCATGGGCATCAATCTATGCAATTGGGATACAATGACATGTGTCAACCAAGTCCGTAGGGTTGCTGAAGACCTATTCTAACCCGGATGTTCAGGGGTTGTGATTCTAGGAGGATGAAGGAGCCTTAGAATGACTCTTAGAAGTGATGAAAGAGAAAGCATATACTCTGGAACATAGAGTTCCTTATATTTAAAAGGTCGATACCACAACATCTCTCCTTAAAGGTTATGTACTTGTACAATATTGACAAACCTTATGGATAACAAATTCTTTGCTTTCATGGGTGCAATGTAATTCCTGCTTGGCAACAGTACAAAGAATCTGTATGGAAACGTGACACTCACGAAGTAAATTCCTGCTTGACAACGGTAAAGTAATCTGTATGGGCTAAATAATCTGTATCGAAACTTTATCTCTTTCAAAGATCAATGGTGGTTCCCTAAGGAACACACAAAATGTACAAAGTATGTACTTTTCCTTGAGAGATGTCATATGTTTCATGTCTTGGCGTACAAACATATATGACACGGTAACATCAGTGCATATCCATGGTGAGACCAATTTGCGTAGTGACTTATGAACCCAGTCCCGTAGCAACAATGTGTTAATTAGTAAATTAGCAATTTCGTTTGTTTCAATCAAAACAAAAAAAACCATTGCGTAGAACAATGCACAACATAAAACGTTTTCAGTGCAAATGGCCCCACACATAGCATCACATCCTTCTAACCGACAGGAACTTCGAGACTCAATACTGTTCATAAAGTAAAGTCTGTTTACAAACGCGCCGTGAGATTGCTGGAATATTGCTAAAAACGGCGTAAAACCATACTCACTCACTCTTCCGAGCACAGCGTTCGGTTTCACATCTATGTTGAGCTACTCTACTTCTGTTTTATTTTTAAATTATCAAGGCACGTTGTATTGGTGACAATGACCTTTAGCCGTTTGATTCTAAAAAGTTTGAAGAATTCAGGGATGTATGTGTTGCAGATGAGTGTGAAATATGTGCCATTTAATAGACGTCTCGTGACCTGCCAAGTCGAAACGTGATTTTGTCATCCTAAACTCTAGGGTTTTTAATGCTTGTTTAACGCCAAACCCTGCACTCTCCAGATATATGAGGCGGTCTTTAAATATGAATACACAAATGCCATTAAGAAAGTGGTCAACTGTAACATATGTTATGTTTGGGATTACACTTTCTTAGTATAGTACAGATTCTAGTACTTTTCTTAGTTTGAGCCCCATCCGGGATTCTCCGAACCCTCACCCTCAGAGTCAGGCACCTAATCGCCAGCGCACACAAAGTCAGACGCCTAACCTGCTCAGTCGACGACTTTGTGTGCTGGCGATTCGGTGCCTGACTCTGAGAGTACTAGAATCTGTACTTTACTACTAAGTGTAATCCCAAATATGACATATGTCATATTTGACCAACATCACGATCTATGCATTTGGGAACCGATGACATGTGTCAACCAAGTCAGTGAGCCTGACCACCCGATCCCGTTAGTTGCCTCTTAAGACAAGCATGGTTCCTGAAGGCCCATTCTTACCCGGATATTAACGAGTTATACAGTATCGAATACAGCAAAAGCGTTCGTGTTTGTGTATTTTCAGTAGCATTACAAACGGCAACGTTTCAGAATATTCGCTGGTGATTTCATAAAACAAACCCAGATACCCGTGATCTCTTCTATGCTATTTTCTCACTTCTGTTCTCGAGTAATAATATATCTGATTTTCATATTTTGCAACAAACACACTAAAGGCTGTGGTAATGTGTCGAAAACAGATTTGCGATGTACATTTTCGTTGGTCATTTTCCCCAGTTTTCACAATTCTAGAATGACAATGGAATATCTTAAAATAAAATTGAAACTACCGTGAACAAAATCAGGATTATAGAGGCAGGATATACACTCTTCGTAATCACTCTCCTACCCAGAGTTCCATGCGGCCCGCATAGGTTGCTTAGTCACCATTGTGCCAGAGTGTGTCCTCGTCATCACTGCATTATGAGGTCAGAATACCATGACGTCACAGACTTCAGTCAAGGCTCAAATGACAATGTGTAACAACAATACAGGAAATGTTTCAAAGATTAATAAGTGGAGTCATTTTCAAGATTATGACATACACGATCCTCAAGAAACTACATAAGTATCAATATACAATAGCCGAGAACAGTGTCAATATTTTGAGTAACGTCCTCCAACTGCAATAACATCACTGACCCTCCTCCTCATTGACATTATCAGACTTTGAGTTTGACGTTGGGGCATTGCGTTTCATTCTTAAATGGAAGGCTTGTTTCATTCCATCAATATGTTTTACTGGAAGATCTCTGTGACCCTCATGCCTCAAACATGTGCACGGTGTGACTAAGCATTGTCGTCCATAATGACTGACCTTGAGATCAGAGGATGGTCATTGACAGCAAAACCCTGTCTAAGAGGTCCAATCAGATTGTGTCTGATCGTCACATGGTTTGCTGATGTTTTCCGGCCAATCGGCTGGTGGATTAAGGATGCCAATCTCTTGCAATTGCCCTCAGTGACATGAGCCATTGCCAGTTGAGGAGACCCCACATTTGCTAAAGTCAATTGATTTTCAAGCAGTAAGATCAGAAAAATTATATTTGTTTAATGACGGATTTAAATGAAGTTTTCCCTAGCATATCTACAAGTAACGTATGGTACACCTGAAGGGTCTAATAATCGTACAAACAAAACTATGATATGAATATAAAGGTTATATGTGAGTTAAAAAATCATAGGTGTTGCAATATTATTTCCATGTGTATATTTGCATTAATTTGTTTCTGTTAAGATTCTGTGGGAGGCAATTGTGTACTGAGTACTACGTTTAGTTTGGGCAGGGAGAATAGAAGACGGATTGCTGTAGATTATCCCTGGTTTGGGAGAAAAGACTGCTTTGGAAATGTCTAGGCCTATTCCGGAATATTCAAGTGTAGTCTGGCCCAGAGAGTTAGTGAGTTCAGTTCACCTAATATACTATCCCAAAAGAGAAACGCATAGTCGTTTTGTATTTCTGAAATCGATTAATTACCAATTGTGTTCAAACAATTGTCAAAATATGTAACAAAAGTGTTGATAACATGATTTTACACTATTGCACAAGTGATAAATCGACTTTACCTGAAAATGTTGATTTTGATGAGATTTCTTACAAGAAAAAGGCATCGCCACAATGCAACAGAAATCACCTTCCAGTTGAAATTGTGCAGCAAAGAGCATGCACTGTCTGGCTATGAAACTCCAGATTACTTTCGGAAACCTGCATTCGTTTTGAAGGAGTTTCTAGGTCAAATCACTACGCCACGTCTTGACGCTGCGACACGGAACATCGCCATTGAAAGAATGCACACTAGAGGTTATCAGTTTTCTGTTGCCAGGCGTCTGAATGTTAATCTGAGCATGCTATCACTGCTTGCAGCTCGTTACAACCAAACAGATATAACAAATGACCGTCCCCGTACAGGCAGACCTCGAGTCACCACTGCAGGCCAGGATCGGTACATCCGGGTACTACATTTGCGTGGTCGTACTGCCACGGGTGAGAGCACAGCAGCCAGGGTGCCTGGACTTCGGAGGATATCCGGTCAAACTGTACTGAACAGGTTGAGAGAGATTGGACTGAGAGTCAGGAGACCCGACGTCGGGACCATGCTAGGTGGTCACCATCGCGCTCAACGTCTCCGTTATCTAAAATTATCCACTCGGTTGTATAGATATTACCTTCTTCTAAACTGATGTAAAAATTCATGCACTAAAGTCTATTTGTGGACGAGTTATACATGTTTGAAAATACAACATTTTCGCAACAGATTTCTGGGTTATGCGTTTCTTTTTTGGAATAGTATATGTGTCGTTACAAGAAGCCAAGCGGTTGCGTGAAGAGCACTTTCACCCTGGCTCACAGTTCCTTTTAATTCTTAGAATTTTTATAAATACGGCCCCAGGCTGTTGATCACTGGATTGTCTGGTCATTACTCGATTATTTACAGGAAATACATGTACTGTTTGTTAATCCAGGGAGTATAGAAGACTGTAGGTTTATCTGAAATATTGTCCCGCGGTTACCATACTTATCACAACACAGTAAATGGAGCAGCACTGTTGAGGAGTTCGCACAAGTCACATGATCAAACATTGTCACATGATCACCAGTGACCTGCTCCGAAATGTAGGCGTTCGACACATCTGGATCTTCAGCAGTTTCGTGACAGCCATGCATCTTGCAGAAGTGTTGCTGTTATGTGCATGTTGCACTGTTTTGTCAGCGAAGTCAAGTCGCCCGAACATTATTTTCATCCTCGCTGACGATTACGGATTCCATGATATCGGGTACCACAAGTCGGAGATAAAAACACCAAATCTTGACAAGTTAGCCGCGGCTGGGGTGAAGCTGGAAAACTACTATGTCCAGCCTATCTGTACCCCGACACGGTCCCAGTTCATGTCAGGGAGGTACCAGGTGAGTCAGTCCTACCCTTACCAGTTATAAACTATGTATTCTACAACCTGTCATTCATTCACTCCCGTGGACTTAACTGACAGATGTTTTTGGTGCATTGATAAACAGAAGATAAGGCCC